AGTATGTGTTATGGTATCCTGTGTTAAGCATATCTTGATAAATCGACACTATTATAGATATTTTTTTGGAACAGTAGCGATAGGTACTCTGTCTATCTTTACATCCTATATCTATGGTTTCATTTGACATCGTGGTTTACCTACAATGCGAAGAAATGGCACTACCGTGCAGCCTAAGAAATACAAGAAGAAATTCGTCACGATCATTAAGTTCTCGGTAGCATAGCAATAAGTGCATCCACCCAGACAGCAGAAAATGCAGGTTCAAGTCCTGCCTGTAATTCATTTTGTAATAATTTTGGTTATCCTAATTTAGTTTCAAAAGTTTATTTGTATAGTAGTTCTGTTAACGGGTTTCAACTGTATCTAGGTATATATATAAAACTCAAAGGTGACTGACTGACTGACATAGTGATCTATCAACGCACAGCCCAAACCACTGGACAGATCGGGCTGAAATTTGGCATGCAGGTAGATGTTATGACGTAGGCATTCGCTAAGAAAGGATTTTGAACAATTCTACCCCCAAGGGGATAAAATAGGGAATGAAAGTTTGTATGGAACTTTGTCAATTTTAAACCGATCGGGCTGAGACTTTGCATGCAGGTATAAGAAAAATCATAGATGAATGTCATTGTGTATAATACAACAATTCAGCTCTACACCGAAGCGAAGCGAGGGCGGACCGCTAGTTTTTAATATTTCTTCTTTACAGGCTCCGGTTTGAACGAAAACCAAACAACGTGTGCACTGCACACAGTACTGGAAGGTGATGGGTTCCTAATTGTTATCCTCTTTGCAGTATCGAATAATTAAAACCCAGTCATCTCTACGGTTTCTATTTCTAGGAAACCTATTAGAAAGAAGACAAGACTATAATTTATATAAAATATTCTATGAATAATATGGCTTCTTTTCTTTTCCTTTAAGGATACGGAACCCTAAAAATTTACGAAATCTTATCTTGCCTAGTCACAAATGCAAGAAATACAAATTTCCCTACTTTTAGGGAAAATTTCCCGTAAATAAAGTAGCCGCACAGTTGTATTTTTGTTTACAATTTTCATCCTTGTAAATAAAATATAAAATAAAAAAAATATCAAGAATTGTCAATACTTAAGCATAGTAGGTGATTCCTTGTGACTTTCCAAATTTACTCGTGTAGTTTTTAAAAGATTTCACCACACAAGACGGCATTTTTTTTAAAATATATCGGAGCAATTGAACGTGTTACTGGCGCTGTCACGCGAGTTCAAATGGCAGCGGATTGTCCGACCTGGTGCATTAGTGTGAGTGTAGGTAGTGTACAACACACGATTTTGTCTGACCTACATGTCATTGTCATGCTTCACATGATTTGCCTTTGATATTACGTCCGTCTTTTTTTCAGGTCCGTGTGCATAAAGTAGATAGTTTTACCAATTTAATCATTTTATGTGGTGACAGCTCTGACATTAGAAAAAGGGACATATTGAATAGTTTTAATGTATTATTAAAGTTACAAGGAGAAACTAACTGCAAATTAATAATCAGCGCTTTTCCTTATGCTAAAAATTTGACGTGGGATGAAAATAAGCGCATCTTTGATTTAAATACATACTTGTATAATTTGATTAATCGTCATAGTGACGTCATTTTGTTTTTTGACAATAATAAATTTATTAGTAATTTTAAACTGACTTCAGATACTATGTATCTTTCAAAGAAATCTCGGACACAATTAGCTAATTTGTTAGCTTTTAATTTACAAATTGTAATAACTTCTTTTAAAACTGACATTAGTACTTGTACTAATTCAAATCTTTTGATAAATTGTAGTTCTACAATAAACTCTTTAGATTTAAACTGAAGCGTATGACAAAAGCTAAGCCCCATTATGTCAATATTATTCACCAAAATATCCAGGGCTTGGCCGGCAAAGACTTAGAGTTAGAATTATTAGTTAGAAGTCATGAAACTCATATCATGTGCATAACTGAACACTGGCTGCAACAACATGAAATGTCATTTTATTTAAACAATTTTCAACTATCCAGTGCATTTGTACGCAGGACAGCTATTAATGGAGGGTCTTTAATTTTTGTGAAACATCATGTAAAATGTAAGGAAAGAAAGGACATTGTAAGCCTTTCAGTGGAACGCCATGTTGAGCTGTCGTGTGTAGAGTTAGTAAATTTTTATATAGTATGTGTATACCGGCCCCCCTCAGGAAACTTTGGTACATTTGAATCAGTCATGGAGGACTCTCTCAATAAATTAAAAAATAAATCTGTAATAGTATGTGGTGATTTTAATGTCAATCTACTTGAAAATAGCTCTTTGAGTCTTGTTTAAATGTTTTAATTTAAATTTCCAGTTTACTGAACCAACCAGAGTAACATCTCACTCAGCCACTTGTTTAGACAACTTTTTTTCTGAATTGGATGCAATTGAAAAGTCAGTCTTTAGTGATATTACTTCCGATCATCTCGGTTTAAAGACAACATATAGTTTCAATGTCAGTACTGAGCCGAAGCCGAAGCCGAGTGTAGACCTATAACAAATGAGCGCGTTAATAATTTTAAAAATAACATTAGCGATAAACTTCCTTTAATGCCTTGGACGCATGATGATCCGGATATTTTGTACAAAAATCTTTTTAATTTAATAAATAATGAATTTCAAAATACGTTCAGACTGAAAACCATTAAATGTACACAGAAGTTGCAGTTCTGTGACTGGGCGACAAGTGGTATACATAAGAGTAGAACAAGGCTGTATGAGCTTTATAGAATCAAAGAATATAACCAGGATCCTGAGTTTATTAACTATGTTAGAAAATATTCCAAATTGTTTAAAAGCATATGTAATACTGCAAAGTCCAATTTTATTAGGCATAAAATTAAGAAATTTAGTAATAAAATAAAGACCACTTGGGATATCATTAAGCGCGAAAGTGGCAAGTGTAAGCCTCGTGAAAATAGCATGGTTCTTAAAATCAATAATAATCTCGTAAAATCGAAACATGAAGTCGCAGATATTTTCGATATTTTTTTTATGAATATACCATTAGAAACTACTGCTAACTTGGACTCATCGTCTGATACTGCTACAGCTCTGTTACAAAAATATGTACCTCCGTGTGGTTTATTATTTAATTTCAAGCACGTTAGTTCTTTTAAAAAAATTAAAGTTTTCCATTCATTAAAAATGAAAAATGCATCTGATTTATGGGCTATATCTGTCAAAGTCATAAATAATATTATACATTCTATAGCCCCTTACCTAGCTGATATTTTTAATTCATGTATAGATCAGGGAGTATTCCCTGATCTTATGAAATTCAGTAAAATCATACCTTTATTTCAGTCTGGAAATTGTAAAGATCCTAGCAACTATAGGCCAATATTTATATTACCAGCATTGAGTAAAATCTTTGAAAAAATAATGTTAGAACAATTGTTGACTCATTTTAACATTAATAAACTTTTACACAGAGCGCAGTACGGTTTCATTAAAAACCGTTCCACGACTGATGCTGGGGCCATTATGCTAAAATATATAATTAATGCTTGGGAAAAGTCGCAGAATGCTCTTGGGGTTTTCTGCGATTTATCTAAAGCGTTTGATTGCGTTAATCATCAAACTTTGTTACGGAAATTAAATCATTACGGCATAAAATATTCCGCACAAAAATTAGTGCAATCATATTTAACAGACACAAATAGTTGATAATAACGGTACAAAATCAGCCGGATCTCATGTGAAAATAGGCGTTCCTCAAGGTTCAATTTTAGGTCCATTTCTTTTTTTAATTTACATTAATGATTTACCTTTCTTTGTAGAAAATTTTTGTGTAATTGTTTTGTTTGCAGATGACACCTCGCTAATTTTTAACGTTGACAGGTGTAAAACAAATTATGACGATGTAAACAATGCACTTTCCAAGGTACTTCACTGGTTCTCTTCTAATAATCTTAAACTGAATGCGAGCAAAACTAAATGTGTGAAATTTACTTTGCCGAATGTAAAGCATGTTGAAATGGGGGATATAATTCTAAATGGTGAAAAACTAATTTTAGTCGATACAACCGTTTTCTTAGGCGTAACACTAGACCACAAACTTCAATGGAACCCTCACATTACAACACTAGCCGGTAAACTAAGTTCTGCTGCTTATGCAATTTATAAAATAAGACGGCTTACAGATGTCGACACTGCTAGGACAATATACTTTAGCTACTTTCACAGCATTATGTCGTATGGCATTCTATTATGGGGCACGGCCGCAGACGTTGAAACAGTTTTTATTCTTCAAAAACGAGCTATAAGAGCTATTTACCGCTTGGGATCTCGAACTTCTCTTAGGGATAAATTTAAAGAAATAGGTATAATGACTGTTGCCTCTCAATACATTTACAATTGTATATTGTTTGTGCGTCAGAACATAAATTTATATACGAGGTGCGATGATGTACATAATTTCAATACCAGAAATAAAGATAAACTCAAATTGCCACCATTGAGACTCCAAAAGGTTCTTGGTTCATTTGTGGGTCAAGGTATATGTTACTATAATAAAATACCAAAAGAAATAATTAATTTACCTTTTAATAAGTTTAAAGTGTGTATAAAAACATGTCTCCTTAAGAAAGGTTACTATACTGTAAAAGATTTCATAAATGATAAGTCACCTTGGGCTTAACATAATAGACTGCCGTTTTACTTTGCTAATTTGGTTGAAAATTGTTTTATCGCCACTTCTAAATTTAAAAATAGTACCTAGTTATACTTAACTTTTGTTAATTAATAATATTAATGTGATGGAAGTTGACATCAACACATGTATTCAATTTTTGATGTCATCTTTCAATTGACGACACTGTGTGAAACAAAACAGGGAGAAAAAAATAGCCCTTGCTGAGTTTCTTGCCGGTTCTTCTCAGTACAAGGTCTCCCGCCGTAGATTTACGAACCGATGGCGTAGCGTTTGGCTTTCACAAGAGCTTGTAACAGCCTATACTGAATAAATGAGTTTGAATTTTTTGAATTTTAAAGATTTTTTTATTAAAACCGAAAATTACACTTAATTCTGTAAAAGTTCAACAATAATTTTTGTTTTGTTAATGGTGTGTATTGTCACTATAAAATGCATAAAGTGAATCAATTCATAGCATTAAACTGTGTCGAATAAGAGAAATATCATAAATTTTCTTGTTTTCGTTTTTTTTTGTCTACATTAACAAGTATTAGGATTTAGTTTCTACATTAAACAATTCTCGTAATTGATATGAACACCGACTAAAAAAATCAAATCCAAATCTTGTAGGATCTAGAAGATATTAGCATCTAAAGTTTTCTATGATAATTATGGTTTTAGGGCTGTCACATGTAATATCCATAATTATTCTGCATTATAAATATTTTTTTGGAGTTTACTCCTTAAGAATCGATTTGCATATATAAGGGGCCCGGTATGAGAAAAATGTGAAGAGTAAAATCTATCGATGAATGACCTCGTTACGTTTTTGGTGCGAATCCTGTTCGAGCCAAAATGACTCTTAAATCCGAAAGCTTAGGTGCAAAAGAATTAAATTGAAACCACAGTGTATTTTGTTAGACCACAGATTTCTTTATTAGTTAGGTGACGTTTTGCCTATATTTGAACTAAAATTTTAAACGCACAAATGGCGTATACATAATCGCCCACCAAGGACAAACTGAAATTTGTCCTTACAAATATTTAACTTAACAACATGACTCTGTTATCGCTCAACATGACTTAAGGTCACAAAACAAATAAAAACATTACATAATTTATCAACATTCCTAATGATATATTTATGCACATCTGAAATTGACTATTGTAAAAAGTTTAATGTAAAATATTTCGTCGATTAGTTATAATAAATGTATACGAAAAGAATAAATATATATTTATATATGTATATTATTTTCATTAATTTGTTAATTTACCCTTTCATACAGTATCAATATTTTTTAAGTTAAATAAAAAATAAACTCTTTTTGCGTCTGGTTAGACTATCGAACTTAAGGAGTAAACTCCAGTCGTGCGTCGGAGCTGACACACACAATTTTTTTTAAATATTTTACGTGCTATGTGTTGTAATAGGTATAAATACAAGGTGTTACATAACCCGTAAAAATGTATGGAAAGACTGACAAAAATGTATGGGAAATAATTTTTTTTTGCGAATTCACTATAGAACAAGATGTTAAATAGATTTAAAGGTCCTCGTTGCAAAGAACTTCTGTGTTATTGTCATTATGCCCTTCAACAATTTCGTCACTTCCACATGTCATACAATTTTCTTCAATAGGGATGTCATAAGGTTTTAATAAATTTATAACTGTAGCTGATAATGGCAATGATTTCAACTTTTTTTGCCTATTTTGTAGCCTTATGTAAGAAATGGCTGGATCTGATGATTCCAGTGCTCTGTGGAACAAGTCCTGCATCGTTTTTTCTCGGTCACTTTTGCGGCTGTGGTGTTCACGATCGTAGCGCCAAAATTTATTCCGTGCTTCTCCCGCTTGTTCCGATAGTAAACCTACAGGAAGGGTAGAGTTACTAATTATGTCTTTTCCGTGGATAAGGATTTTGTGGACGGTCACTGTCATTGGATGCCATTCATACTCCTTAACATATTTAGTTGCTACTGTTTTACAGAACTCTCCGAACTTGTCAGCATCTACGGGTAATCCACAGGACAATGTAACTAAAATTGTATGAAGGTCATCCAACAACCACTGCCCAAGGCCTAATATTTGTGCAAAAACTGCACGATTTTGATCAGATAGAACGGTTCGAGCCGTGTTTCCATCATTAGTTGTTCCACCATTTGGTCGGACAACATCTACCAGCAGTTTTAGGTCTTCTCGCACTTTTTCTTGTATACGTTTTTTTTGTTTCTTCAACAATGGCCGATTCAGATGAATTTTTGCTAATCCTCCATTTTTTTACGGGAAGTTTGTACCCTAAATGTAGTAAAAATTCCAGAATCCGGATCCAAGCATGTAAAGGGCTTATTTATTTATTTTTATTTAAACTTTATTGCCACAATTACAAAATGGACAAAAGGCGGACTTAACGCTAAAAGCATTCTCTGCCAGTCAACCTTCAGGAGTACAGAAAGTCACGAATGCGGCTTTAGTAAAAAAATAATTGATAATATAAACATACCATAATAGAAAATACTTATCTTATACATAATAATTAAATATACATAAGCACAAGACATATAAATATACACACACACATATATATACACATACAATACACATATACATACGTACATATATATAAAATATATCGATGATGAGACTGAAAGGGACTTAGGAAATGAGTTTAACGTTAGTGTGGAAGGCTATCCAGAAGAAGTGCATGAATTTTCTTTTTAAAAATGAACCTATTAGGTGACTTTCTAATGGATTCAGGGAGGCTGTTCCAGAGTCGTGAAGATTGAAGGGCAAAGGAATCAGACATATAGCCAGAGTGAAAGAGAGGTTGGGATAGAGCAAGAGTATCAGTAGAACGAAGTTGAAGGTTATGTGTATTACAAAGATACTGAAATTTGGATCTTAAATATTCTGGAGAGTGTGGGTCAAAGAGAATTGAATACAGAGTACATAATATTCTCTGCTGTCTTTTTTGACGTATAGGGAGCCATTTTAGTTGAGACCTGTAAGCAGATATGTGGTCAAATTTACGAAGACAGAAGATGAAGCGAATGGCATTATTTATAAGACGATCCAATTTATTTAAAAGATCAGCATTCAGATCGGGATAACAGACATCAGCATAATCAATGAGCGGAAATATAAGAGATGTTACAAGCAAAATTTTTGTTTTGATGGGGAGAAAATTCCTGAACCGATTCAAGAAACGAAGTGAGTAAACAATCTTGCGGCTCACTTCGGCAATTTGAGTGGTCCAGCTGAGAGAGGAATCAATATAAAGGCCAAGATTTTTTACACTTAAACTAAGCGGCAGTATTGTGCCTTCATACACGACAGGTCGGAGAGAACTTTGGTCAATTTTGACTATTTGTTTAGAGCCACCTACGATAATGGCCTGACATTTAGTTGGATTGACTTGTATTCCAAAGTCAGCAGACCAAGCACTGATACGTTGCAATTCATTATTCAACATGGAGATGGCCATATCAACTTCCTCAGCTAAAGTCTGGGTATACATTTGTAGGTCATCAGCGTAGAAATGGTAAGAGCAGCCAAGCGAGTAGGAAAGGAAGTTAATGAAGGCAGAAAACAACAAAGGAGAGATAATACCACCCTGGGGTACACCGGCATTCAAAGTATTCCACTTTGAAAGGTTTTGTCCAATGCGGACTGCTTGTTGACGGCCCCAGAGGTAGGATGAGAACCAATCCAGTGACTTTGGTGAGAAGTTGTAGGATTTCAGGATAGCGAGGAGAATATCGTGATCAACCATATTAAAAGCGTTAGAGAAGTCTATGAGTACCATGACTGTAACCAACTGTTTCTCTATGCCTATCCTGACGTCCTCAGTAACTTTGAGCAATGCCGTAGTGGTACTGTGTCCAGGGCGAAATCCAGACTGAAAAGGAGTGAGAAGATTATTGGAAAATATGAAAGAGGATATCTGATGATGAGCAACTGCTTCAAGAACTTTAGAAAGAAAGGGAAGGATGGAAATAGGCCTGAAGTTACTAAGTAGCTGAGGAGAGGAAACTTTCGGCAGAGGAAGAACAAAAGCTTTACGCCAAGCTAGAGGAAAATCACTATTTAGAAGGGAGAAGTTGATAATGTGTTCAATAGTTGGAAGAATATAGTCTAAAATGTTGACTATCATTTCTCTGCTGACGTCATCCGATCCAATAGCTTTTGATTTGATAGAAATAATAATTTTACGGATATCATCACTTGTCACTGGAGAAAAAGTAAAGGAATCAGAAAGAGATTGGGCTATGGAAGAAATGTTTTTGACTGTATTATTTTTAATAAGTGGGTCAAGTGTACTGGTTGTGGAAAAGTGATTATTGAAATCGTTAAGAGAGAAAGGATAGGAGTCAGGTTGCTCGGAACATTTGCCCAGGCCTAAAGAATGGAGAAACTTCCATACGTTCGCCGAAGATGTGTTGCTGATATTGTCATGAAAATATTGTTGTTTAGCTGCCCTCACCATTCTATTGCACCTATTACGAGCCACCTTATATAAAGACCAATTTCCGTCCGATCTGTCACGCTTGAAAACACGAAAAGCACGATCTCGTCGCGCCATGGCCATACGAACGCCTCGGCTGATCCAAGGAGCGGGAGGTCGCTTTACCCTGACAGGCTTCAGCGGAGCATGGGCATCGTAAAGTTTGAGAATATAATGATTGAAGTTGGATACTTTCTCATCCATTGACGAGGCACCATACACCGCCGAGAAGTCAAGCTTAGAAGCATCCCGTCCTAATCTGCCATGGTCGAGGCGAGCGAAGTTACGCAACCACACAACAGTAGGTTTCATTTTCGGTGGTTTTAATCTGTACTGTAGAAAGATAAGGTCATGTTTTGAAAATCCAGGTGCTGTAAGCTGACCGTGATTAATAACAAAATCAGGAGAAGTTAAAATTAAGTCAAGCCAGGTATCCTGAGAAAGGTTATGATGAGTTAGCCTTGATGGCAGAATAGAGAGATTAACGGACTTGACAATATTAAGAAGTTTAAGGGAGCGCGATGTGCTACACAATAGATCAGTGTTGAAATCACCCATAATTATGTGATGTCCGTATTCCGAGCAGAGTGGTTCAAGAACAGACTCGAGATGGGAAAAATAATCAATACCGGGTGGAGAATAGACGACTCCTAAAACAACTTTAACTCCCTTAATGGAAACTTCAAGGAAGATGTATTCCGCAGAACTGGAGTATGGGGAGGGAGATGAATAAAGAATTTTATAGGGGATGTCGTAACGTAAGTATATGGCAACACCACCACCGCCCTTGCCAGTACGATCATTGCGGATTAAATTGTGACCAGGAAGTGAGAAAGATGAAGAGGCAAGACAAGGTTTTAACCAGCTTTCCGAGACAAGAATAGCGTGAGTGGTAGCAGAAGAAAAGGTATCAAGAAGATCTGAGTAATGAGAAGGTATGCTTTGCGCATTTATATGACAAACGTTAAAAGAATGAGGTGCAATTTTGAAAGAGCTGTGCAATACGGAGCCCAACGTTTCTGGTTCCGAAAAAGAAATGGAAGAAGAAGAGCTAACGTCACGAGCAGAATAGAAAGAATCATCATCATCAGACATAAAAATAAATAAAATATTATCTAATTAATATATAACTATATAAAAATCTATATATAATAAAAAAAAAGTTAATATGCAAAATAATACCTGTCCTGCCTGTTGGTTGACATTTACAAAAAAAAATACAATACATTAAAAAAAAGTTATACATTGATAAGGACAACAGAGTGAGCAAAACATAAACACGCCAGCTGATAAAAAAAAAAAAGTTCGTAGAAATCAGTCATAGTGACAGTGACGTTTTCATGTCAGTTAAAACTAAACATGTGAATTGAAGAAGGTAATTTAAGTTAAATAACAATAGTATTAATAGTGAAATACCCGAAATATAAAGTTAACGAATATAATACCCGTAAATAAAAGCAAAATTATATAAAACTACAAATTATTATATGAACTTTTCACATACTAGTGCAGAATATAAAGAGAGATAAAGTTACTTTTTCGCCCTGGCTGCTCGTTTGGGTTTAGAACGAGATTCTGGGGAAAGAATCGGTGTTGGTGACCCGACCACAGCTACTGCCTGCTGCCGCTGCGATGCACTTGTCGGCTGTGACTGCTGCTGCGGTTGAGAGACGTCCTCCGTCGCCGATATAGACGAGAGATCGCCTTCAGTGAACAGTCGCTGCCGAGTTCCGTCATTCAGCTTAACAATAATGTTCCCCTCCATTGTCCAACACCTTTTGATGCCAAAGCGTTTGCGAGCCTGAATGAAGAGTGCTTGGCGTTGTCGTGTTAGAAACTCAGATAAAGTATGCTGAGTTCCCTTGAGGGCTGTCTTCTTATTCCAGACAGCAAATTTGAGAGAAAGCTCTGTAAACCGTACTACACAGGGCGACATTTCCCCTCTACAGATGTACTGCCGAGACGATGACAAACACTTAATTTATCTGAGGTCAGATCCAAGCCCATCTTATTCATCTTGCTTTTCAGAAAACATATAATAAATTTGGAAAGATCTTCAGTAGTCTCTGGTATGCCGCCAACTAGGAGATACTTCTTGCGATGCCTCATTTCAATGTCATCGACGGATTTGAGAAGCTGTGATATCTGGTCTCGCAGTAACATCAACACAGACCATACCTCAGATTTGAAGTCACGGAACTCCTGTCTTAGTTGAGTAAGAGAACCATCATCCTTGGGCTGTGACGTAGAATTCCATTTACCCTCCAGCTCGTTCATCCTTAGTAAAAGTTTGGTTTCCATAGCTTGCTGAGTCTCAAGAACTTTCGCAATATTGGCCATTGTCCAGTGAAAGTTGTGAGCCTTTATAGTGCGAGTCAAACCGGTCAGGACAGTTGGGTAAAACACTAAAAATTGCACATACACTGAGGATAATAGTACACAATGTAAATAGTATAAGATACTTTAAGAATTTACTGTAAAGGATCCTCTAAAATAACTGTAAGTATTTTTAAATAAATTATATATTGGAACAGTGTCTTAAGTGTTTTCACTCCTACCGCCGAAAAATGCTTTAAGAGCGAATGATCTGTTGGCAGGGAGTAAATAACTTCCAGTTTATTGAACTGTGTCGAAGTAGCCTTGCAAAATGGGCACCTTTGTTGAGACGGAGTATTCATGATTATATTCAATACTTTCCCATCTATGAAAGTTAAATAAAGTTTGGGTTTTGCTCGGATATTTTTATTGGTAGATGTTGTAGCTATTAATGTATAAAGTTCATTGATTCCAAATCAATGAACTTACCCAACCTTGGGTACCAACGAACCCAAACTTTATGAACTGAGCAAAAGTGGGTAGAAGACCAATCTTCTACCCACTTTTGCTCAGCAAGAATCAATTCCTTTGTCTCTTTCCGATACTGAATGTGAACTGGACGGCAAAATCTGTACGACTGAGGAGTCGGATTCAACCAAAGTATGAAGCCATTTTCTGTTTTTATACATAAAGGTATAAAAGTTGTTGCAAACAGACTATGTTCATCTTCTTGACCGTCACTAAAATTTTGTTTGTAAAGGGACTGGCCTGTGCTACCATCAAAGCCCCAGCTTCCCTCAAAAATACAATCTACAATGTCAACATTTTTTTGTGCACAGTATATTGAAAACAATCCTTTGAAATGTATGCGACAGAAGACTGATTAGTGTAACTGATGCTTCTCTTTCAGTCACATGAATTTCAGGAACTGGATAGCCCGGGTAACATTTTTGTTTTGCCTCAAATACTTGAGGATAAGGCGGGAATGCTGGAAAGCCCCTTGCCTTCAAGTCTTGCTGTAGAAAATTATACGTATCTACTGTGAACTTTCTGTCAATACATACCGCTAAAGCTTCTTCTGGAGTATAAGGTAGTGTCCATTCTCTGAGTTTGGTAGCAATTTTAATTGATCTTGATGGGCTTTCAAGACAGGAATGAATCACATATTCTAAATCCTTCGATGCATTTTTTTTTAGTTTTTGTCCTTTAGCCTCTAAAGTTGTAGACAAAACTTTAATAATCTTGGCTGGAGGTTCGCTATCTAAACAATATTGAAGCGTTCTGCTTACCCTTCGTTTCTGTCTTTCACTCAGTGGTTCGTAAGATGAACTAGAAGTCGAAGCAATGGGATGTGATTCAGGAGTGCACGCTTGTGCGAAATTAGGTTCAATACTAGGCCTTATGTCTGCACACGGGCCCAATATTGGTATCAGAGGCTCTGAAATTTGCAGTGGATTCTGTTCAATCAAAACTGGAGTCTCCAAAATCGGAAGCGAAGGCTGTGAGATTGTTACTGTAGGCTCTGCAATCGGAAGCTGAGGCTCCAAAGTTTGAAAAGAATGATCTGGATTTATAATTTGTGGCTCTGGAATTCGTAGGTCTGCTTGCTCTGAAATTAGAAGTGAAGGCTCTGAAATTGGTAGCGGAGGCTCTGTAATTAGAAGTGAAGGCTCTAAAATTGGCAGCGGAGGCTCTGTAATTGCAACTAAGGCCTCTGAAATCAAAAGCTGAGGTTCCGAAATTTGAAAAGATGGCTCTAAAGTTGTAACTGGTTGATTCATTTGAATAGGAAGTTCTGATATTGCGACTTGTTGTTCTGAAATTGGAAGTAGAGCTTCTATAATTGGAAACGAATTTTCTGAAAATTTAAGTGGTGGCACAGCAGGTGTACTAATATCAATGGATTTACCAGAAGGGCCAGATTCAGTCATATCGTATGGATCAACAGGTTTAGAAAGCATCACATCTTGTTTTGAGGAACCTGACCTAGAATCAGCAGCTATAAATTGTCCAATGTCTTTTTTGATCGATTCGCTAAGCCACATTTTGTACCTCTTTACAAAAAAGGGCATATTATATTTGCATTTTTTGTATAAGCTCTCACATTTGGAGGTGAATCTTGCCATATAGTCCTTGAAACCTTTTTCATCTTTTAAATCAGTTAAGTTCAACTTACACACATTTAACATTGCAGCTGTTCTTTTCTCCAACGATAAGTCTGTAGGGCGAGTTTTCGGTCCTATTTCTTTTGCTAGTGCAACTAACATATTGAATACGTCTAGTCTGCTAAATTCATCTCCTTGTGTACTTGCGGATACTCTCGGAGGATGAAGAGTACCGGCTGTGGCGCTATCCACAACTTCATCAACTGCTACTCGTGAACCAACATGAGGGTTGGCGCCCTCATGCCCTCCTTGCACTAAGTCAGCCGGTCGGAGCCCGGACAGACATCCCTCAACAGGTCGGGTCAGGCCCTGTTGAGGCAAAGTGGCACCATGGGTCTTTTGCGGCTCCATGGTGCCTCACCCCCGTTCCTCCAAGTAACATGTATCGGTACAGGATTTTAGCGTGTGCCTATCGAGGGCGAACCCCTTCCCAGTACCACATATTACTTTTAATTGGATTTGATGCAGCTAAAAATAATCTGGTTAATTTTTTTTTCATATAAAGATGACTATTATGATATTATTTTTACGTCCCTTAGTGATTTACCAGTCATAATAATTTATATGAACTTGGAAGAATATATAATCTTTATTTTGTTGCAAAGAAAAGAATGTTTAGAAAAATGTTACTCTGAAAGGTGGCAACCCTAGGACAAAAAAATTTGATTCTCAATATCTCTGAGATTCTGCTAAGTATCGATGCCTGGTTTTGTGAAATCATGGAAGGGAATTGTAAAGAATGATTTACAATTAGAAACGAATCCTAATACGTAATAATGTGACCGGGAGAAATAAAAAATGAAAATAGGTAAAATTAGCCATAACATCGTAATGCGTTACAAATTCATACCTGCTGTTTTTAGTAATTTACAATATTTTATTACTTTATTTTATGCCACTTATATTTTTTTGTAATACTATCTAATTATTGAGATATAGCCATTTCTATGGTTTTTTTGAAAACCATAGAAAGGAGAATGCCCATGTTTGGTACAGCTTTGTCTCTCGCATCAAGATAAAAATAATATGATAATTATTTTCTTTAATTTATATGTACGTTGGTCTATCAGAATGGCTATTTTGAACAGGGAATAATTGTAGAAGAATAATTAGTCATAGTACTGTTAATATTTTGAGCCGGATATCTGACGTTATTTAATTTTTACTTTTTTTAAGATTGTCCCTTTTTAGGGAAGGCAAAGAGAACAATGCCCATACAGCCTAGTTTTTAGTTATAATTATCAATCTTCTTTTTTTACATAAGAATGTCGGTGTGACGCATTCTAATGTTTCTTGGAGTGTTTGGCACGAAATGTAACGAGTTAGCTTTTTCGATAAGCTTCTGTGAGGTAGTCAACACTATAAACTTCTTACGTTCACTTGACCGGAATAATAAATTAACATCTCAATTGAGAGATTTTACTGGCACACAGTTTGATAATTAATGATTATGATGCAACGAGTAGCCAATTACAAATTAGATTTTTCTAATGTTTCAATTATATCTACTCATTTACGTCATTATATTTACGTTTAGTTAGTTACATATTACGCTTGGTATGAACTCTGAACAGTTTTATAATTTGCTCAACTGTATAATACCAAATCTAGCAGATCAAGTGCCAAACGCTTCTTAGCCTTTTGTATTTAGTTAAATTAATAACTGCTGATAGCAATGAAAGATTGGCCACTCTTTTCAATAAAACTAGAGCTATATTAAAACGTTGCATGACAAAAGCTAGAAATTGTTTGAATTTGTTTGTTTGTAGATAATATTTCCCTTGTTTTAGGTCTAAATAATTATTTATTAAGAGGTAGGTTTAAATCCAGACAGGTAAGCCAGTAGTACGTATTACACATATTTACTTATCAGTAGAGATGCTGCCTTCGCAGACACATTACAGGCTATAAAAGGTTATTATTGCAGCTGTTCTGTTGGTAAATAATCCGTAGGCTGTTGTGCCCTTAAAATGACTATAGTTTGGTTTTTAAGTTGGGGTCGCAACAATGACGTTACTGCTCCGGCGCCTTATTTAGATGATTTTTTCCATGAAGATTATGTGTGATTTGAAATACCTATATTGATGTTTTTATTTACCTATACCTACATACTGTAATTCTGCCATCACTGAAAACTGTGTTGTTGTGAAAATCTATGCAGTAGGTTGGAAAAAACACAAGTAGATAAAAAATAATGCAACAGAATAAAAAATTACCCAAAATAGCTGTAAACCTAACTTTAAATAGGGCGTTTTAAGATTATGTCACATTTTTTACAATAACTTTAAAACCCGTTTTTATTTTCAAAATACCAATTAGTCATACTAATTTGAATATTAAATGATCATTTAACATTTATTTGGTATTGATGCAACCATTGTACGGTGGTCCATACACCCATGAGCATTCTCCTTTTATAAAAAAAAATATAACTCATTTTCTATTGAAAATTGCCACTTCGGAGTTTTACTCTCGCGATTAAAGTTGTGAATACCATCGATTAAGGACATAAAAATTACGTGACCGTTTTTTGGGCTCAAAATTATACTGTGCCGCGGTAGCATAATGGTCACTTCATTTACCTGTATAGCGAAGGGTGCGGGTTCGAATCCCGTCTGCTGCCTGGTCCGAGTGGATTTTTTCTAGTAAAATTTTCTTTAAATTAAAACTGAAGTTTGTTTATTTGAACGTGCTAATCTCAGGAACCACTGATCTGATTTGAAAATATATTTTGTGTTTGTATATTTTGTGTTTCTCAGCTAAACCACTGAATGGATTGCGCTGAAATTTCGCACACATATAGCTATTATGAGGCAGGCTAAAGGGATAAAACGGTGGTTCGAAGTTTGTATAGGTGGAGCACCAAGATCGCGAGTGTAAATCAAATCTAACGCGAGCGACGCCCGAAGGCAAAAGCTAGTTAATTAAAATAAGTTCCACTCGTGCATAGTCAATTGCTAACTAAGAGATCAAAGTTAGCTCCAAAAGACTGAAGAACCTTCTCACGGTAATTCCTGGCTTAGTGACTGTTACTGGTGTCCAGACTTAAGAAAGTTGCAAATGGATTTTCCAGGAATAGAAACTTTAAAAGATTTAAAACCATTTTTAATATAGGTCAGAACAATCAAATCCCTTGTACCGATTGCAACCCAATCGTTTTTGGCATAAGGTTTAAATTGACCAGATGAACATCAGTAGCCTGGTGGTTGCCTGCTGTGCTGTAACTTCTATACAAGAATACTTAATCTTAACATTGAAAGACGAAAAGCTCTGCATAGCGTTGAAAATTTTACTAAAGGTAGAGACAATATTAATTATTCAAACGAAAAAAGGAGATTATAAGTTAAAAGAACAATAATAAACGAAATAGGTGTAAATCAATGTTTAAATAAAAACTGTTAAAGAAAGAATGGGTATAGCGGATTTCATAATCTAATAGTAGCGGCCGTCTGTAAAATATTCAACTTTTTATAGATCTTAGTGAGAAAATACAGTGGTAAAATTTTTGTTCTACCATAACTACTATTATAAACGAATTTTCGGCTGGCCACGTGGTGGTTGTGACGTCACACTGAAGTTAGACCGGAGTGAACCACGATAGAGCTCTGTGACGTCACACGTTTCGGCCGCCGGTGAATATCGGCTACCATAAAGTTAGTTATAAAATCGAAACAAATAAACCGGTTTCGATGATTTAAAAAGTATACTAAAGCTTATTAGATAATTATAATGTTGATTTGCTGACCTAGTAATGATCCTCATTGTCGTTGGGGTAAGATATGGACAACTGACAATTTTATTGTAACAAAACGCCTGTCATTTTTATGACGTAATGTCGGCACCATAGGCGATTTGGTGTAAAGGGCCAGGGCTCTTTAAAACCAAATCGCTAACCAAATCACCAAAATATCATCACCAAACCAGGGTCTGGTGATGGAACTGGAAGGTATAGTCTCCTTATTGGAAACAACACTTTATAAAAATAACAGGCAAACACCATGCAAACATGACGAAATTAGAAAAATATCCAGAGAGAAGTTTCAAAGAAATTAAATTAGTTGGATTAATTCATTAGCTTATATTTAAATTTAAATGCTCCCAAAAAAAAACTTTAGGTATGCCAACGGATTTTTTTAACTGATTTTACGCATTTTAATAGGGAAGATGCAGTATTTTTATTTTTGTTTTCATTTTAAAGAATTCCATGTAGAATAAACCACAAATATATTAAAAAATTAATACATTGCAATTTATCGGAAAAAATGGGGTTTTAAATTGACAGTTTAAATTTTCGCGCGAAAACGGACCTATGGTTCCGATGACGTGACTCCTGTCTGTCACTGCACTGGTCGTACTTGTTCGTCGCTTCCTTTCATACTTTTGCTTATTTTTTCGATTTTCGAGATAATTTTCTGTAAAAAATTAAAATGGACTACCCATCAACATCAGGTGATCATAACAATACCATTAATATTCCAAAAAAAAGCCGTGTTGACTCATGTTTTGTGCCAATGTGTCCATCAACTTCAACAAAGTTTCCAAGTAAATTGTTTTTGACTGGACCTTCTGACCCAAAACTGAGAAAAAAGTGGTTTGAAGCTGCGAAGAGAGATGGAAATTATTCGCCAAAAACCATTATTCGATGCTGTGAAGATCACTTTGACGTAAGTCGCAGAATATACTTGTTATATGCATAATTAATCTGCTTGTACGTAAAAACGCGTTAGTAATCTACCTAATACTTACAAAACCTGTCTATAACATATTTTTAATTTTACAGTTGGAAAACGACGTCGAAAACTGGATAAAGTTTAAAATGTGTGGAGGAAAACTTTTTCTGAAAAACGTTTTCTACTTTTCATTATTACTGATCTAGGTTTCAGTGGCATCATTCTATTTTGGCATTCAAAAATATGAGGTACCACATACCTCATATTTTTGAATGCCAAAATAGAATGATGCCACTGAAACCTAGATCAGTAATAATGAAAAGTAGAAAACGTGAAATTCTTGAGAGCATTGAAAATTTACCAGGTATACTTTTGATTTATTCTTTTAGATTTATTCTTATATAAGAGACAAACAAACATACAAACAAATTTATAATAATATAAGGATAATGTTTTTTAATGAAGAACTATATTATTGTCTTTCATGTTTCAGATCCATCTTCAGAGTGTTCATTAACCACAGAAACACATGATTCTCAAAATATTGAAATATCCAATGATAAAGGTGTACAAGTATCTATATATCCTTATAAACGATCAAAACAAATATCCAATGATAAAGGTGTACAAGTATATATATATCCTTGTAAACGATCAAAACAAGTTCAAGTACAAATGAAAATACCCCAAAAGACTGTAGCTTTATCACCTAAGCAAGTCAATGTTAGGGATTGTAAAACATCACCAATAAAACTAAATAAGTATAAAATTCTTCATTGTAATGACTCTAGTGATAGTGACAGTATCAGGAGTTTATTTAAACCTGAAGAGGAGACTGATAGTACTTCAGAATCTGTTTTAAGTGGATGTAAACAGCTAAAACAAAGACAGTTATGTGAAATAACAATGGGTCGAATAATGGCACAGCCTCAGTTGTACATAGGGGTTCCATTTTCTAGCAATATTCTTGTAGAACTTCTACAAAAACACTTAAAATGCAATCTTTATCATATTTGCTTAGTTTTAAAAAAGCTACGACTGAATGAATCATTTTCTATTTTAGCAGAAGATTTTGATATACATGCAACTACAGCAAGCAGAATATTTTCAAGAAATTGTTGGAAAATGGCTGAAGTATTAAAAAAGTTTATTATTAAACCATCACGAGAGTCAGTTCTTGCCAATTTGCCAATTAGCTTCAGAAATTCCTATTCCAAAACTTATTGTATAATTGATTGCCTCGAAATAGAAATAGAAGTTCCTAGTGATGCAGTACACCAGTCTCTAACCTATTCCTCTTATAAGAAATGCAACACTTTAAAATATTTAATATCTTCAACACCAGACGGGGTTATAAACTTTATCTCAGATGGTTTTGGTGGCCGAACTTCTGATTTAAAAGTTTTTCAAGAATCTGGATTTATGGACATTTTACCACCTGGAGCTTGCATCATGGCAGACAGAGGCTTCAAGCACATAGAAGGAGTGTTGGCAAAAAAGCAATTTCAATTGATAAGACCACCTAGTGTTAGCAACACTAAGAAAAGTACAAAAGATGAGGTAATAAAATCAAAGAAAATTGCAAGCCTTCGAATTCATATTGAAAGAGTGATTAGAAGACTGCGCGAATTTGCGTTACTAAAACCACATGCCTGTGTTGATCATTTTCTTGTTCCCCATTTAGATTATAGCATAATCATTTGTTCTGCGCTTGTCAATTTGCAATCACCTTTAATTAAAATGGAATAAAAAAATAGTATTTACAAAGCATAGAATTTTATTTTATAAATTTACAAAAACAAAATATGCTTAAATATTATATATATCTTTTAATTTTGGATATACAGCATCTATCCAGAATTTCTTTGCAGCATTCATAACAGATACAATGCTGTCATCATATGGCACATTATAAATATCTACTTCTTTTGATTTTTCAAAGTTTGGGTGTGCTATACAAAAAAGTGCCATTTTCCTTTTGCTGAAAAACATTTGAAGTTGTACTTGTGTCCAACATTTTGGTGTTATTTTATTGTCTTTCACATAGTTAAGTATGGTAGCTTCTGTTGAAGGACATTTCACCTCTATTGTGTAATTTTCAGTAAGCCCGTCAGGTGTTACACCAAAAATAGGATACTCGGCATTAAGAAGAAGTCCAGCTTCTTCAATTTTAATCTGAAATGCAGATCGTAATAATATAAATAATATTAATTTATACAAAGGCCTTAAACTAGACATTACAAATTCTTTTATTCAAAATATTTAAACAACAGAAAAACTAATGAAGTTACTTTTTCTTTTTTGCTCACTACTTCGAGAACTTCTTTTTCTAGTTTTTTCCCTCTAGCCATCGCAATGGAAGTAAATTTTGAATGTTCTCCCATAATTTTGTTCAAAAGGGAACCAATTTTAGTTCTACAGTGAGCGGCTTCATGAAGAATTGAGCCAGTAATTCTTCCGTATCTGTAAAAATAGAAAAATAAAAATCTGTTGTTTACAGTAAATATGCCAATCAAGTTTATGCTATGTGGGTATGATAGTGAGTTTGTTTGTGCAAATTTTTCCTTTTTTACATATTTCTGCAAATACTTCTTCTTTATCGTGATAAATACAATAAACAAAACTAAGCTAGAAGCCTTTACTACTTGCCTCAACTCAAACCACAATGGTGTATCGCTCTGATTTTTGGTGGTGGAAAAAATCATATTAATATTATCAGTGGTCATTTGGTTTGATAATATTTCAAGAAATGATTGTGGAGAGTCCAACTTCCCAATCAATCTTGAACACAGTTTATGAATGCTTAAAGTTTGTTGGTTTTCTTGAAAGTAGTGAAGAATACTCGCTTGACAATCTTTTTTTTGACAGCATCTAGAAATTCACTTAAAATATCCACCTAAAAATATGCAGTTATTATTGGAACACATTTAAGAAATTCTTCAAATAAAAAACCACATACTTGAGAAAAACTGTTAGTGACTGAAATATGACCCATTTCTTTGGCTTTTATAAAAGATTTTCCTGAAGCACATGTAGATAATTTAGACTTCTTCCAATAACATGTGACGGACGTAATCGGAGGGTCCTCAGATCTTCTGTGCAACCATAGCAATAGTGCAGCAGCATGCTTACACCCACCTAGAAAGAAATTTTAGTCATAATAATCCGTTCCACATACAGTTTAACTATTAAAAATGAACTTAATTCTTTTCAAACAGTTTAATTATTTGAAAATAACTTTAATTCTTTACCTTCAGAAGCTGCACAATCTTCACATTGGCAGGACTGAACCAAGCTTTGAGTTTCATTTAAAATAACTGTAACACGGTAACCTTCTTTACGTACTTTATGCTCCGGAGTAACTCGACTTTTTACTGTACATAATTCTCCATCTCTTTTAATTTGGACATAGCCGATTGCGTAATCGCCGTAAGATTCTCTTGTTGAGCTGAAATAACTGTTATGTGTAGAAGCCGCTGAATAAAATACAAAGTTTAACAACTGTGATTTATACATACCGTAGTAATTTAGTCCCTTTCATTTCTACACTTGAAAACTCTGCACTTTGGACAAAAAAAGTTACAACCATGTCAACACTAACTCTTGGTAAATTCCTGGAGTCTGCTTTGATAAACCCAACTTCCATTTTTATTAAAAAACGCAATTAATATTCCCTTAAAATAATATTCACTTTTACAACCATAACCTCAAATAAGTTGTCATAACAGCGGTGTTGCCAGGTCCGATTTTCAAAAATCGGGAGTCGTTATAGAAAAAAACAGTAGATAATTATTAAGGTTATCTACATTATTAATGACGGAAAATGCAACTCAACATGCAATTTAAAAAGAAAATCGTGTTCTAAAAAAACAGGAGATACATGTAGAAAAACAGTAGAACAGGAGAAATTTCAGAAAAACAGGAGATCTCCTGTAAAACTGAGACCTGGCAACACTGTATAACAGGAGTGACGTCACGAAACGCTGATTGGTGTTTTAAATTACGTTTCGTTTCAGTCATTTTTAATTCGTAATTATTATTAAAAAACAACATTTTGTAAAATAAAAACGTTGCAGTGGCCCTTCTTTTATATTTTTTTAACATTTTAATCATAAAATTTTCATAAATATTATATATGCATCTTCCCTATTATTTTTAAATGCATTTTTAATTATTTACTTCCAAATTAAACTTTTCTGTCCAGTTATACTTAAATACTGTAAAACGTAGTTGCTTTTTTAAAAGATTTACCATACTCAAATGAAATTCTTATTTCTTCTTCTTGTCAAATTGACCAAAAATAACTAATGCTTCTGGCTGATAGTGATTTATTACAGTTGGAAATCAATTCTTCCTTGCAAACAATCCGCGAACCCGTTTTTTTAAATGTGAATGAATAACAAAATTGGGTCAAACCTTTTAGTTGTATATGATTGGAAGTAGTTCGCCAATCGATCTCCTTGAAGACATATACAATTTAGTGGGAAAATAAGCAGCTGTTGCATATTAACTACCTTTCTTTAATTCGTTTTGTAGAGTAGATACTAACAATAAATTGAATGGGCATAGTTTAAATTAAATCTAAATTTAATTTAATTTTAATTCATACTTATCATCGCGGAAATCGGTTTGTCTTTAGTAACATCTCATCCTAAATTGTAGATTATAGTATACTAGTTACCTTTAGTACTCACAAAAAGGTAAATATTACCTTTTTGAGTATATCCAGTATTTTCTTGTACATAACTTTGATAGCCAGCGCGGCATTTTTCTTGATGTTGGCCCGCTGCACGTAGTTGGCCACAGCCTGCTCCTTCTTCTCTGCTGGCAGTTTCCCCCCTACTTCAAACAATAGACGATCACGAAGCTCCGCCGACTCCAACTGTGCATAAATACCTATATTAAGTTTTATAAATATTAGGTTTTTCATCTCATAAACTTACCTAAATAGATTTTAAACATCTTTTAAATGTGACCCCGCATGTCTGCCGTTTTAATATCTTTTCGAATACATTTTTGTTAATTAAAAATTTATCAATGGCTGACACTTATTCCGGCTTCTATAGTGTTTTATATATTGAAAAAGTTCAATATATTTTTATATAATTTTTATAGCAATTATCTTGTTATTTCAGCACAATTGAAATGCGACGTAGATAGTGCGCAAGCGAGGGATTTTTGCCCGAAAAAAATTAACTACATAGAATAAAATACACACTACGGAGTAACACTACGGATTAAAAGTACCGTATAAAAAATTCCCCCGAACAACGGAGGATAAAAGTACGCGGGTATCCTCGAAAAAATAGAAGTCGTGTAACTAGTCGCGCAGTAACGCACATAGCGAATTTTAGTCGAATTTGCGCGCTCGATCCGATTTATAGAGATGGACCCAGTAAGTATCCTCTTTTAAAAAGTCTTCTCTTTTTCTTAAACTTTTGTTAATTACAACACAACGTAATCTGAGAATATATACTTCCAGTGTGTGCTTTTTTAAAATTTCGGGTGGTCGCACACCGTGTTCGTTGAATTCGTGACAAGTCCTCGGCGGATATTTTTTTCACGATTGAGGGACTACATCACAGACATCGTAAATTAACTTACAGTAAAAAACGCAATAAATATCATATTATTCTTATAAGTTAAAGGACAATGTTAAATTTGGCCTAAGAACCAACACCAATTTAGCATTTATGATAATTCTTAGTATATTTTTTGCCATAATTATCAGTATTTAGATTGTGACGGACACTTCCAGTTAAGTAAGCTATATTAAAAAGTTAAAACATAATTTGAGACTACCATTTTATGTGTATAATCTATGGCAGCGCTGCAAACAAAACACTTTTTCTTCCTAATGCCGGCACATCACTTGGCTATTCGTGTTTACTTTTTGAAAACTTGACGTCAGTCTGTTTTTTTATTCCATACTAGTGGCCCGCCCTCGCTTTGCTTTGGTATAGAGCGAGCGTAGTGTAGACGGTAGTTTTTGTACAAAGGCTTGTATTATTAACAATTACTTTCTTCATAATAATGATAAACTCAAACTCTTCAAACTCTTTATTTGCAAACTAAGTGTTACATAAGTTCTTAAACATAATACATAGCATCTTATGACTTAGTCACCTTGTACAGGTATAACAAATAATATATAATTAAACATTTATATTATTATTATGATATTATAAAATTATAAAATTGTAACATATTTAATTTGGTTTGGGTGATACCCTCATTATAACATAATTTAACAAACAAAAACAATTGGAAAAATACAAATTAATTAAATTTATTAAAGTATTCTTCGATAGAATAGAAACATTCATCGGTTAAATATTTTTTTATTTTTTTGTGAAATATAGGGAGTTCCTGTTCATCCCGTATTTCTGATGGTAATTTATTAAATATTTTTATAGCCATATGATAGGGGCTGGTGTTTAGCATCTTTATGCGTGAAGGAGGTATATACAGCCTGTTTTTGTTGCGAGTGCTAATATTATGTGTGTCTTGAACACGGATAAACTTATTGCGATGTTTAAAAATAAACAAGCAATTATCCAGTATGTAAATCGATGGTAAAGTTAGTAGTTGGTATTTTAAAAAGTAAGGTCTGCAACTCTGCATATTGTTAATTTGAGCAAGGATTCGCACACATTTCTTTTGGAGTATAAATACCTGCCCTGCATTAACGCTGTTGCCCCAAAGCATGACTCCATATTTAAGCCAGGAGTATGCATATGCGTAGTATGCTGCTAGAGCAGTATCTACGTTTGTGCTACTCTTAATTTCGAATAGTGCATATGTAAATTTGGACAATTTCGATTTAATGTGGTCTATATGGCCCTTCCAGTTAATATTTGAGTCTATTATCAATCCGAGGAGATTAAAAGTGTCTACTGGATCTATTTGGATATCATCAAAATTTACGTCAAGATTTAAAGGTTTAGTTTTGTACGATTTAAATTCTATTACTTTAGTTTTTTTGCAATTAATTTCCAGGTTATGTTCTGTGAGCCAGTGCGATATATTTTCTATTGTACGGAGTATGTCAATATTAGGGTCAGAGTCTTTACTACATTTAATTAAGATAGATATGTCATCAGCAAATAATATTGGATATGTTAAATCATTGTCTAAAATTTTTGGGAGGTCATTAATATAGATAATAAATAATAAACAGCCTAACACACTGCCTTGAGGAATTGAGCATGTGAGATTTCTTACAGCAGAGTTCACTTTTTCTATAATATTCTTCTGTTCGTCGAAATGTTCGATTTGTACAATTTGTTTTCGGTTACTCAGATATGACTTGAACCATGAATAAGCTGGGCCCCGAATTCCGCAGCCATAAAGTTTTTTTAACAAAATACTGTACGAAACTTTGTCGTATGCTTTTTTCATATCTAATAAAAGAACTATCGCCAGTTTTTTATCGTTTATTTGTTGAAGTGCCATTTGTATATATTTGAATACTGCTAATGTAGTTGATCTATTTTTACGAAATCCGTTCTGGCTTTCATCAAGAATGTTGTATTTTTCTAGAAATTTATATAATTGTATACTCATCGCCTTTTCAAATATTTTGGAAAACGTTGGAAGGAGTGATATTGGTCTGTAGTTACTCGGATTGCCTTTGTCATCTTTTTTATGTACAGGCTTAACCAATGATATTTTCATTTTATCTGGGAAAATACCCTCTTTAAAGCTCTGATTTATCAAATTAGTTAAGGGCATTGAAAATTCATCAGCACATTGTTTAAGCAAAATTGGTGGTATATCATCTATGCCAAAACTGTGTTTATTTTTCAAATTTTTAATGATATTTATAGTGTCTTTTTGCTCTATTGGGCGTAAGAACATTGTTTGTAATGCGGGATTTATTACAGGACGTCCTGGTTTACTACAATCATTGTCATCGTTATTTTTTCCTATTGAAACAAAATAATCATTAAATGTGTTGGATATCGTATGGGGACATTTTATAATTCTGTCATTTATTTTTAACTCAAGATTTTTAAATGTTCTTATTTTGGTTTTGTTGGTTTTTATATTTATGATATTCCACATTGTTCTAGTCTTGTTATCAGATTTTTTCATTAGTTTAATATATACATTTTTCTTTGCAATTTTTACACTCCGCTTTAGTATATTACTATATATAGTGTAATACTTTTTTATTACTTTACTTTTTGTTTGATTTAATAAAATTCTTAAGTGTCTCTTATGCAAACATGACTTCTTAAGCCCTTTAGTTAGCCAGCCTTTTTGTTTGTTCATTTTCATTTTAGTTTTGGTAACTGGCATGTATAGATTTAGGATATTTGTAACTGTATCAAGAAATGCATTATAGTTACTATTTACATCATACTGTTCATCAATAATATTATTCCAATTTATGTTTTTTAAAGCTGTTCTAAAATTATTTATTTTCCTATTATCCATTATTCTTTTATTAATATACCATATTTTATTTTTAGCATACTCTGAATGTTTAATTATTTGTACAGTAACCGCCTTATGATCAGAAAGACCATAGTCGCTAACATAAGAATCTTTGATCAAAGATGTGTTATTTGTGAATGCTAAATCGATACAAGTAGAAGAATTTTTTGTTACCCTGGTAGGCTTATTAATCAACTGTTTTAAGTTATATGTTCTCATCATATTAAGGAATTCCGAAGCAGTAGGGTTACGTTTTCCTAACACATGTATGTTAAAATCGCCTATGATGATCAAGTGCTTTGTCTTATCCTTTGCATTTATTCTGTTTAGAATCCTCGACATTTGCTCAAGGAATACATTTATATTGCGATCTGGTCTATAAACTCCGACTAATATACAATTTTCCTTAGGTATTTCTATAGCACAAAATTCCACTATGAATTCTCTAGATGAATTTACTATATCCTTCCTTTCAATGTAGTCTAATTCTTCTTTAACTAGTAAACATACTCCCCCTCCTTTATGTTGTTTTCTACAAAAAACTGACGCCATTTTGTATCCAGGTAGTGTTAATGTACTACAGTAATGTTCGTTTTTCCATATTTCAGATAAGCAAAGCACGTCGATTAGCTTGTTGTCCAGCAAATGTTCTAGTAAATGTACTTTATTTCCCAAACTTTGCATGTTCTGCGAAATTATTGTGAAATACTTATTACTGAAATGTCTTTTCCTGTGTGGGGTTATCGTCTTCTTTTAAATTAGGTGCATGTGTGATAGAAGGTGATGTCTGCTGTTTTCCAGTTACTTTGTTGTATTTTAATGCGACATTAGTATCATTTTGAGGAGTGTCTATGTATTTGATTTCACTTTCTTTTCCGTCGATGACAAGCTTATTTTGCTTAATAATCGCATGATGGCCACCTTTACGCGCTTCAAATAGATGTTTTCTTAGCAGATTTCTTTCTTTTAGTTCATTTCCGTTCAGAAAAATATCTACGGACAAACCGGTATTTTTAAAGCATCTCTTATTTTTAATTATGTACTTTGCCATACGTTTGCTTACTAGTTCTATCATTATGGCTCTGCGGTTTCCACGTTTTCCTATGCGTTTAATATTTTCTATGAATGGATTTATGTTGACCCCAATAATATCATGGAAAACACCAGTAATACGTTGATACAATTAATTTTCATCCTTGTTTTGGCTTTCTGCTAAGCCATATAGCACGAATTTCTTACAATGCTCCAGGTCTTTTAATTGACTTTCTAAACTAACAATTTTGCTATTCAGTGACGTAATTTGCTCTTTGATATTATCTTGTTCAATAGAGAATCTTATCGGGTTGAACTTTTGTTGAAAGTTTGACACTACTGTATTTAATTCCTGTTGAATTGTGCTTCTTAGGTCAATTAAAAGCGCTGCTTTTATTTTTTCTAGTT